GGCTGGAATGCAGTGTTGCAATCATAACTCACTGAAGCCTCAAATTCCTTGGCTCAAGTAACCCTGCCTCAGTATGCTACTGTGCCTGGCTATTTCTTGGGAATTTTTTGTTTTGGGGTTTTTTTTTGGTAGAAACAGGATCTCACCATGTTGCCCAAGTTGTTCTGGAACTCCTGGGCTCAAGAATCCTCCTGCCTTACCCTCCCAAAGTGCTGGGATTATAGGCATGAGTTGCTCACTGCACCTTCTAATTCTCACAAGAACAGTTATAAATAAAAAGATCAAAGAGAGGTTAAGAAAAGTGCTGGAGTCAAGGCATTCTGGCTTCAGAGTAACCCTTACCTAGCAGGTGTACTATTTCCCTAAATACAGAAGACAGACCCACACACAACTTGATATCTTGATATTTCTTATAGTTGTTGAAAGAAATTTTCAGGAAATTTAAGAAGTTGTCAGTACTAATATTGTACCTAAAAAGGTTGTCAGGTGACCCTAAGCCTCCTTATAGATAAAAATCAGAAACCTTGCAAAAAAATCCAATTTTATATTTAGGACCCTAATAAAGGTATTGCCTTAATCTGATTTGTTAACTAAAAGAAATAGAAATGGCTCGGTGCCTATAGCTCAACTGCTAGGGCACCAGCCACATACACCAGAGCTGGCAGGTTCAAATCCAGCCCGGGCCTGCCAAACAATAATGACAACTACAACCAAAAAATAGCCAGGCATTGTGGTGGAAACCTCTAGTCCCAGCTACTTGGGAGGCTGAGGCAAGAGAATCACTTAAGCCCAGGATTTGGAGATTGCTATGAGCTGTGATGCACCTACACTCTACCCAGGGTGACAGCTTGAGACTCTGTCTCAAAAAAAAGAAAAAGAAAGAAATGGTAGAAAAAAGTAACTTTATGCTTTACTGATTATATCCTAATAAAAAATACATTTTAAATTAACTTAATATGTGTAATGTAATTAGATTTTACTTTCAGCACCATTTTCTTATTTAGTAAAAACCTACATCATTTCTGAGTACGAGTGCCCTATATATAGGAGGGCTATATATTTTTGTGAGGATTTTGAGGATGCTAGGCCTTGATAATAATGTGTATTGAGTATGGTAATGTGTACACACCTGGAGTTTTATTGTGAAGAGTACAGATAATTAAAAATTCCCATATTATGGGTGCAGTGGGCTCACTCCTGTACAGCACTCTGGGAAGCAGGTGGATTGCCTGTTCACAGGTTGAGTAAGAGTAAGACCCATCAGGCGTTGTGGCTGGCGCCTGCAGTCCCAGCTACTTGGGAGGCTGAGGCAAGAGAATCACTTGAGCCTAAGAGTTTCAGATTGCTACGAGCAAGTATAGTTAGGTGCCACTGCCTTGCTTATACTAAGTTATTAGCAGTTTTAACTACCATTATTTTTGCATCATCAGTGAGAGCTAATAAAAAACTTCTTGGCTTGGCACTTGTGGCTCAAGCAGCTAAGGCGCCAGCCACATACACCTGAGCTGGTGGGGTTGAATCCAACCCAGGACCGCCAAAAAACAATGACGGCTGCAACCAAAAAATAGCCGGGCATTGTGGCGGGTGCCTGTAGTCCCAGCTACTTGGGAGGCGGAGGCAGGAGACTCACTTGAGCCCAGGAGTTGGAGGTTGCTGTGAGCTGTGATGCCATGGCACTTCACCCAGGGCAATAGCTTGAGGCTCTGTCTAAAAAAAAAAATAACTTCTTACTAACGTGAAAGCAAACATTTCTCACCAAAAATCAGTGGGGGAATACATATACTTTATATAGTAACTTTGCATAGTATATTTTCTTGGGGTAGGCAAATACAGCAGGACCCTCATTTGCTATCACATTTGTATTTATTAGTAACCAGAAACTGGCTCAGCTCCTGTAGCTCAGCGGCTAGGCGCCAACCACATACACCAGAGCTGGCAGGCTCGAATCCAGCCTGGACCTGCCAAACAATAAAAAAACAAAATAGCTGGGCGTTGTGGCAGGGGCTTGTAGTTCCAGCTACTTGAGAAGCTGAGGCAAGAGACTTTCTTAAGCCCAAGAGTTTGAGATTTCTGTGAGCTGTGACAGCACGGCATCCAGGGAGACAGCTTGAGACTCTGTGTCCAAAAAAAAAAGTAGCCAGAAGCCATAAAACGTGGAGAGCCTTTCTTATGTAGGTATTTATCCTGACTTCATAAGGGAAGCCAGAATTATAGTCCAGAATTACCAGGGTTTTGCTTTATAGAACCATTCAAGAGTAGCTAATGTTTAGAGAATTCAACTGCCTTTATTTTAAAACTTACTACAAAGCTCCAGTAATCAAAACAGCATGGTGCTAGCAATGAGGAAAGATTATAGTATTTTTAGTAAATGATGGTGAGATGACTAGATATCCACATGTAAAAGAAATGAAGTTGGGCTGGTCCTCATAGTATACATAAAAGTTAAAATGAGTTATATATTTAAATGGAAGAGCTAAAACTGAAACTCTTATAGAAGCAGTAGAGTAAATCTTAATGACCTTGGGCTGGACAAAAACCTTAAAGTAGATATGACACCAAATGCACAAGAAAATAGATAAATTGGACTTTAAAATTAGAAACATAGGTGTGTTAATGGACACTATCAGGAAATGAAAAGACATTGCAAGAATGGGAGGAAATATTTGCAAGTCAGATGTGATAATGGACTTACATCTAGAATATAAGAACTCTCTTTTTGAGATGGAGTCTCAAGCGATTGCCCTGGATAGAGTACCATGATGTCACAGTTCACAGCAGCTTCCAACTCTTGGGCTTACGCGATTCTCTTGCCTTAGCCTCCCAAGTAGCTGGGAATACAGGCACCTGCCATAATGCCCAGCTTTTTTTTTTTTTGTGGCAGTTGTCATTGTTTTAGCTGGCCCAGGCCAGGTTGAACCCCACCAGCCTCGGTGTATGTTGCCAGAGCCCTACCTACTGAGCTACAGGTACCGCCCTAGAATATAAGAACTCTTACAACTGAATAATAAAGCAATAACTTGATTACAGAATGGGCAGAGGATCTGAATAGGCATTTCTCCAAATAAGATAGAAGAATTATCAATAATCTTCATGAAATGAAGCTCAGTATCATTATCCATCAGGGAAATGCAAAACTATAGTGAGATACTAATATATCCATGAGATGCCTATAAGCAAAAAGAAAGATAACAAATGTTGACCAGTGGCTTGGCCCCTGTAGCTCAGCAGCTAGGGTACCACCACTGGAACTGGTGGGTTCAAATCCAGCCTGGGCCAGCCAAACAATAATGACAACTACAACCAAAAAATAGCCGGGTGTTGTGGTGGGCACCTGTAGTCCCAGCTACCCGGGAGGCTGAGGCAAGAGAATCACTTAGGCTCAAGAGTTTAAGGTTGCTGTGAGCTGTGACGCCATGGCACTCTACCCAGGGTGACAGCTTGACTCTGTCTCACACACACAAAAAAATGTCAGCCAACAAATAGAAAAGTTACAGCCTTCATGCAGTCTTGTTAGGAATGTAAGCGGGTACATGCAATTTGGAAAACAGCCTGGAGATTCCTCCAAATGCTAAACAGAGTTACCATCTGACCCACCATTTCCTCTCCTAGGTATATACCTAAAAGATATATGTCCACACAAAAACATACAAATGTTTATGGTGGCATTATTCATTTAAAAAAATGTGGAAACCCATGTGTTCAGCAGCTGATGAATGGATAGGTAAAATGTAACGTGAAATATTCACGGCCAGGCATGGTCACTCATGGCTATAATCCTAGCACTCTGGGAGGCTGAGGTGGGTGGATCTCTTTAGTTCAGGAGTTGGCAACCAACCTGAGCAAGAACAAAACCCCGTCTCCAATAAAACAGCTAGGTGTTGTGAGTGCCTGTAGTCTAAGGTGAGCAGGCGTCCCGCAGCGTTTTTAAAAAGTCTCAGTTTTTGGAAAGAATGCACGACCAGCTAGGGAACGCGGGACAATGGGAAGGGAATTGGTTTTGGCTGCTGAAAAGGTTAATGTAACTCAATTTGGGAATGAAGAGGTTAATGTAACTTCATTTGGAAATGAAAAGGCTAATGTAAACTCCCTACTCCCCTCCTGGGCAAGGTTGCCCAGGTGGACCAGCACCCTACTCCTTTGAGCCACAGGCACTGCCCTATACATAATTTTTTTTTTAATATATTATATTTGTAAATTGTACTTATGTTGAAATTTTAAAAATATAGATTACAAGACTGTTTTTGTGTTCTATGAAAGTTTTTGTTGCTCCATATAGACCCAATTTTTAATTAAGAACCCTCCCCCCCATGGCGTCCTGCTTTACCAGTGTTAAAATCTGGTCACCTTACTGTTGTCCCAGTTACTCAGGAGGCTGAGGCAAGAAGGTCACTTAAGCCCAAGAGTGTGAGGTTGCTGCAAGATATGATACCATTGTACTGTACCCAGCCTGACAAAATGAAACTCTATCTCAAAAAAGAATATAGTATTGATACATGCTACAACACAGATGAACCTTGGAAACATATTAAGTGAAAGAGGCAGACAGAAAGGCTACATTTTTTTATGTGATTCCAGTTCTATAAATTGCCCAAAATAGACAATCCATAGAGATGAAAATTAGATTAGCAGATGTCTAGGACTGGGGAGCAAGCAGGGGTAGATGGAAAATAATTGCTGAAGGGCACAGACTCTTTGGGGAGAGGAAAATGTTTCACAATTAGATTGTGGTAACAATTGCATAATTATGACTATACTAAAAACCATAACATTGTATACTTTAAATGGATGAATTGGATGTGAATTCTGTCTCAATAAAGCTGTTTATAAAAAAAAAAAAAAAGATGAGAACTAATTAATAGCTGTGAGGTTGCCAGGCAGGCACTACCTTAATTTTGAAATTTCTATCAGGAAGAAGTTGTACATGTCCTGAGTAAATAATGAAGTATATTCCTGTTTTATCAGTGTAAAAAGAAAGTGACTAAATTATCTACTCTTTTCAGAAAGGAGAAGATGAATATGCCAATGTTGATGCCATCGTTGTATCAGTGGGTGTTGATGAAGAAATTGTTTATGCCAAATCAACTGCCTTACAGGTGAGAGGTTTACAGCAGTTTTTAACCCTTTGAGTTAGTGAATCATCCACTGCACTGTTCAGTATGGTAGCACCATTACAAATTCATTTCCTAAGTCCCACCAGCTGGGTTTAAGGTGCTCAGGAGTGGCTACTGGCAGATACAGAATATTTCTGTCACCTCAGAGACAGAAGCAATGCAGAGAAGGAAGTGACTTGAGAGCACAGCTACCACCATGAGCCTCCTCAACAAGCCCAAGAGTGAGATGACCCCAGAAGAGCTACAGAAGCAGGAGGAAGAAGAATTTAACACTGGTCCACTCTCTGTGCTCCCACAGTCAGTCAAGAACAACACCCAAGTGCTTATTAATTGCCGCAATAACAAGAAATTCCTGGGCCCAGTGAAGGCCTTTGATAGGCACTGCAACATGGTGCTGGAGAATGTGAAGGAGATGTGGACTGAGGTCCCCAAAAGTGGCAAGGGTAAGAAGAAGTCCAAACCAATCAACAAAGACCACTATACCTCCAAGATGTTCCTGTGTGGGGACTCGGTCATTGTGGTCCTACAGAACCCACTTATCGCTGGCAGATAGGGCCCTCTTCCCCACTGATAGCTTGCTCCCATGTCCTGTGAAGCCTTACTCTTTGTGATGGGAATAATAAAGCCCTGTGGTTTTTTTTCTAAAAAAAGAAAGGAAGAAAAAAGAATATTTCTGTCATCGCATGAAGTACAGTTGGATTTAGCACTTATTTAGGACATAGGAAAGTATATTAATCAATATGGATTTAACTGCATATAACAGAAATATCTGCATAATAGTGTGTTAAATAAAATGTCTTTTCTTACATACAGTAGAACCTCCATAGTTGACCACCTCCTTAAGTTGACTCAATTTTCAAAGACCACACAGGTGCTACATGTGCATATCAGTACAATAGGCCTGGTTCCCTTTGTTGATCAGTTTGTTATAGTCCCTTGGGTGGTCAGCTTACAAAGGTTCTACTGTATAGTCTTCATGGACCCAGGCTTTCTGTATAATACAAAGTGGCTGCTGGAACTCCCAACTGTTTCATCTATATTTCAAGCAAAAAGAAAAAGGGAAGAAATGAAAAACTTTTATTTTAAGAAAACATGTTTGAAGTCCTACATATTACTTCCAGTTAACAGTTCTCGGCCAGGCTTGGCGCCCATTGCTCAGTGGTTAGGGCACCAGCTAAATATGCCAAAGCTGGCAGGTTCAAACCCGCCTCAGGCCTGCTAAACAACAATGACAACTGCAACAACAACAAAAAAAATAGCCAGGCGTTGTGGTGGGCACCTGTAGTCCCAGCTACTTGGGAGACAGGCAAGAGAATCGCTTAAGCCCAGGAGTTTGAGGTAGCTATGAGCTGTAATACCATGGCACTCTACTGATAGCAACATAGTAAGACTCTCTCAAAAAAGAAAAGAAAAGACTTCTTGGCCATACTTAGTGTCAAGAAAAGATAAGAAGTAGAATTTTTATGATTGGTAATGTACCCAGCTAAAAATCCAAAACCTTTGGGAGAAGAGAGAAATGAATAATTGGTGGGCTACTAGCAATTTTTGCGGAGGTATAATGCATAGTTCCCTGAGGTTACTCTATCCCTTTTTTTATATATACATAAAATTTTCTTGTACTTAACAGCTTCAATAAATACAAATTGTCCAAATGATTTGATGGGTTTTATTATGGAATCGGCTTTTATATGCTTGAACTATAATATATTAGACTATGTACCTTTTATCTTGTTCTAATAAATTGTCAACTGGCCAATTTTATTTCATTTGTATTCACATCCAGGTTCTTCACCCCATATTATCTTGAAGTTAATCATAAGTCTGTTAATTTTTTTAATCTGTAATACTGTTGTCACTCTTATCTTTTTCTGTAGACATGGCTCTTTGGTTATGAACTTACTGATACTATCATGGTCTTCTGTGATGACAAAATCATCTTTATGGCTAGCAAGAAAAAAGTGGAGTTCTTGAAACAGATTGCCAATACTAAGGGCAATGAGAATGCTAATGGAGCCCCTGCTATCACACTGCTAATACGAGAAAAGGTCAGGATTAATAAAGAATGTGTTATAAATGTGAAAGAATAAAAGCACTGAATAGAAATGCCTTATAGGAATTTAAAAGAATGCAAGAAAGAAGTTGTACCTTTTTTTTAATCAACAGAAATTCTTATCAAAAATGAATGTGCTAGGCTGGACACAGTGGCTCATGCCTATAATCCTAATTCTCTGGGAGGCTGAGGCAGCTGGATTGCCCTGATCTCACAGGTTCAAGACCAGCCTGAACAAGAGCAAGACCCTGTCTCTAAAAATAGCCAGATGTTGTGGTAGGCGCCTGTAGTCCCAGTTGCTTGGGAGACTGAGGCAAGAGAATCACTTGAGGTTGGAGGTTGCTGTGAGCTGTGACACCACAGCTCTCTACCAAGGGTGACAAAGTGAGACTCTATATCACAAAAAATAAAAAAAAAAATGAATATGCTACAGCAAAGTGACACTCAGTGCACATGGTCAGATGGGCAGGGTGGAGATAGGACAGGTGGGTCAGCCAAAGACCAGAGCTAGTGACTACTGAAACCTGCTTACAGGCTGGAGTGTACAGGCCCAGTACAAAATACAAAAATAAATTCTGTGCTCCAGCTATCCCTGGAAAGAAAAGAATTTAATAACTTTATTAAAGACTTGTGCTTTGTTTTCTTCTCAGTACCTTAATCATAACTGTAAATATCCTTATTGAAACTCAGATATTCCTCATTTCCAGGTTTGTTTGGTTTTTTTGTTTTTGTTTTTGTTTTCAGGGTTTTTTTGGCCGGGGCTGGATTTGAACCCACCACCTCCAGCATATGGGGCCTGTGCCCTACTCCTTTGAACCATAGGCACCGCCCTTGTTTTGTTTTTTGAAACAGAGTCTCACTTTGGCGCCCCCAGTAGAGTACTGTATTTGTCATAGCTCACAGCAACCTCAAACTCTTGGGCTCAAGCACTTCTCTTGCCTCAGCCTCCCAAGTAGATGTAACTAACTATAGGCGCCTGCCACAATACGTGGCTTATTTTTTTTTTTTTTTAGAGACGGGATCTTGCTCTATCTCAGGCTAATCTCGAACTCATGAGATTCAGGTGATCTGCCCACCATACCTGGTCTTCTCATTTCCAGTTTTCATCAAATTGTCATACTGCCTACCCAACAACATAAGGATTTTTTATCAGGATATTGTTTATCAATGTGTTTGAATTTCTAAGCTGTTCCTGAAGAAAAAGAGTAGCCTTAACAACTTACAGCACTTTCATTTAACTATATAAAAATATTTTTTAGGCTCGGCGCCTGTGGCTCAAGCGGCTAAGGCGCCAGCCATGTACACCCAAGGTGGCGGGTTCGAATCCAGCCCAGGCCGCCAAACAACAATGATGGCTGCAACCAAAAAATTGCCGGGCGTTGTGGGAGGCTGAGGCAGGAGACTCGCTTGAGCCCAGGAGTTGGAGGTTGCTGTGAGCTGTGATGCCACTGGCACTCTACTCAGGGGGGCAGCTTGAGGCTCTGTCTCAAAAAAAAAAAAAAAATTATTTTATATATATATATAATATATAAAAATATAAATATATATATATATATTTTTTTTTAAACTGTGCTAAGTTTTAGTATGTTTTAATTTGCCCTAAATAAGTAGATGGGGATGGAGGGAGAATATATTCTTTCCACAGTTTAATATTCCTTTTTGCCTATTAGTAGTAGAACCTTTATGTCTTAATTCCAAAACTAATGAACAGACCCCCTCCCCCTTTCTTTTCCTGTGGCACTGATAGAATGAAAGTAATAAGAGCAGCTTTGACAAAATGATTGAAGCCATTAAAGAAAGCAAGAGTGGCAAGAAGATTGGAGTGTTCAGCAAAGACAAATTCCCTGGAGAGTTCATGAAAAGTTGGAATGACTGCCTCAACAAAGAGGGCTTTGACAAAGTAAGAATACTACTGGAAAGTAGCAAATTGGGAGAAGACAGAAGTGTAATGGGCTTCCATACAGTGTAACAAGGATGTTTGTTTTGAGGAAACTATTCACATTTTTATCTCCTTTGGCTGAGCAATCTGCAAGTTTTGACTTTTCAGTCAGAAAACAGGGCACTCCAATTTAGAGTTAGAAACTGAGAAAATTCTTATCCAAAAAGTATTTTTCTTTTCTTTTCTTCTGCTTTCTTACCTGTCTTCTTTTGTCAGTTTTTACAAAAACTACTACAGAAGGAAATTTAAATTTTAAGTAATAGCTTAATGTCTCTTAGAGCACACACCTTGACCTTGCAAAGATCTCTTTCAAATGTTTAGTTCATAAAGAGATTATTTAACATTTTTAATATTACTAATAAATAGTTTGCAATCAAATGTTATCACTGATAATATTCAAATTGGGAGAGATGCATTTCTTGGGCAGCTCTATATTTGCATGTTAGAAACTTACCACTTTGACTACAGATAGATATCAGTGCAGTTGTGGCATATACCATTGCTGTAAAGGAAGATGGGGAGCTGAACCTAATGAAGAAAGCAGCCAGCATCACCTCTGAGGTCTTCAACAAATTCTTCAAGGAAAGAGTCATGGAAATAGTTGATGCAGATGAGGTAAAAGTGTCTTTTCACTATTTTTGTTTTGTTTTGTTTTTGTTTTATGAGACCAGGTTGCATTTTGTTGCCAGTTTGGTCGTTATTATCATAGCTCACTGCATTCTCAAACTCATGGGCTCAAGAGATGATCCTCCTGCCTCAGACTCCCAGGTAGCTGGGACTAGAGGCATGTCCCACCATATCCAGCTAAATTTTGTTATATTTTGTTGAGATGGGGATCTTGCTATTTTGCTCAGGCTCCTTTTTTCAGTTTTAGTAAAGCTATATTAAGTCCCTACCCTGAAAGTTTTTTGGTGTATGTTCAGTGTCCTTTTAAAGTTAAGACTTTGGCTCAGCGACTATGGCTCAAGCAGCTAAGATGCCAGCCACATACACCTAAGGTGGTGGGTTCGAATCCAGCCCGGGCCCACCAAACAACAATAATGGCTGCAACCAAAAAATAGCCGGGCGTTGTGGCGGGCACCTGTGGTCTCAGGTACTTGGGAGGCTGAGGCAGGAGACTCACTTAAACCCAGGAGTTGGAGGTTGCTGTGAGCAGTGAAGCCATGGTACTCTACCCGGGGCTCAGCTTAAGGCTCTGTCTCCAAAAATAAAAAAATTAAAAAAATAAAGTTAAGACTTTGACACTTAAGTTAGTGGTAATTGTGTTATCTCTCTTTCAAAATTCTTGTACACTTGTGGTATGATTTCTTGAGGTTTCCTATTATTTTACTTGAGAATCTTTGGAAGAGCTATGAATCATAAATAACTGTTCTCCAAACTGTTATCTGTTGTGTAAACCATCTCATAAAACTTTTATGTCATCCTGTAGGATATCAGGATATATGTTGTTGTCAAATGATAACATCCAAACACTCCCCTTTGTCACCCTTTAATATGTGTTATTTTATTTCTGGGTACTCTTACAGAAAGTTCGACACAGCAAACTGGCTGAGTCTGTGGAAAAGGCCATTGAAGAGAGAAAATACCTAGCTGGGGCAGACCCTTCTACTGTGGAAATGTGTTATCCTCCTATCATTCAGAGTGGTGGCAACTATAATCTCAAGTTCAGTGTTGTGAGGTAAGTATGAGAACTTCATAATATAGCAGCCAGAGTTTGACTTAAGAGTAGGAGACAGATTAACCAGTAATCTGCATTCCACATTTTTTGTCATTCTATGTGCATTTCTGTTTTATTTCACATAATACTCATTTCTTTCATTAGCATTTGATTATAAGCATTTTTCCAAATGCTAGAAAAATGCAAAACATGCTTAAATTAAAATTTTATTAGATGAAAACAAATTAAAAGAAATAATGTTATTAGATGTACCATTCATCTTCTAATTTTATTGATTTATTTATTCATTTATTTTTTCTTGAGACAGAGCCTCAAGCTGTTGCCCTGGGTAGAGTGCTGTTGCATCACAGCTCACAACAACCTCTAACTCCTGGGTTTAAGCAGTTCTCTTGCTGCCTCAGCCTCCCAAGTAGCTGGGACTACAGGCTCCCACCACAACGCCCAGCTATTTTTTGGTTGTAGTTATCATTGTTGTTTGGCGGGCTTGGGCTGGATTCAAACCCACCAGCTTTGGTGTATGTGGCTGGTGCCTTAGCTGCTTGAGCTACAGGCGCCAACCCATCCTCTTCTAATTTTAAAAAATACCGTAAAGAACACTATTCCCCCTGGTGAGTCTGAAGAGGCTATTTATAACCCATTAATTCATGAAGTACTAGTGGATAACTGACTCTTCATAGCTGTGCTATTAGACTATGATGGATTCAATTCGGTATATTCCTTAATATAGAACATACCTTCTCCCTAAATTTTTACCCTAGAAATTTTGGTTATTGGTTTTTACTTCAGAGCTTTTTTTTTTGTTTAAGAGTCCATTTTGTTGCCCAGGTAGACTGCTGTGGCGTCTTAGCTCACAGCAACCTCAAACTCTTGGGCTTAAGCGATCCTCTTGCCTCAGCCTTCCAAGTAGCTGGCACTGTAGGCACCTGCCACAATGCCTGGATTATTCTTAGAAAGGGGGTCTTGCTCTTAAACAGCATGGTCTCAGACCCCTGAGGTTAAGCAGTCTACCTACCTCAGCCTCTCACATGCCTCCATTACAGGCATGAGCCTCAGCACCTGTAGTTCAGTGGTTAGGGTCCCAGCCACATATACTAGGGCTGGCGACTTCAAACCTGGCCAGAACCTGCTGAACAACAACAACAAAATAACTGGGCATTGTGGCAGGCACCTGTGGTCCCAACTACTTGGGAGACTGAGGCAAGAAGATCACTTGAGCTCAGGAGTCTGAGGTTGCTGTGAGTTGTGATGCTAAGGCACTCTACCAAGGGCAACATAGTGATACTCTGTCTCCAAAAAACAAAAAACTTGTTTGTTTAAAAGAGAAGTTTAGGGCTCAGCGCTTGCGGCTCAAGTGGCTAAGGTGCCAGCCACATACACCTAAGGTGGTGGGTTC